GTGAGACACAACCATCGGTTACAGAAGCCTCAGGAAGTGGGACTACAGACCGCGTCGTCTTCCCCATGGGCAGTCCATCTCGGGAACGAGGACCATCCTTGTCGTCGTCTACTCCTGTCCGACCGGCTGCCTATAAGTCTTACTCTTCTCACTCCGTTGCTCAGGTGGCAGACACGCCCTCTACGTTGACGCCTCCAGCTGATTTGCCACGGTCAGTGTCCCAGCGGCGCCAGAGCGCCATCGTCTCGACCCCGACGCAGCTGGAGGGCGATTCTGAGGAGGTAGTCATTAGGGATCAGGTGTTCGTGAAGCGGTCGGATTGGCCTGAACGCGAAGCGTCTCGGAAAGGCGGTCGCGATTCGACCTTGCAGACGCCCGGAACAGGTCGCGCAGAGCGGATGATGTTCCTCCAAGGAGACGATACCGGCCACAGAGGCTCTTCCAAGGGCAAAGAAAAGGAGGATACTACGTTGGACATGGATGTAGATCTCAAAAAGTTGGAGAAATTCAGGAGAGACTCGTTGGTCAGCGACCTCATCAACGATATGAACGACTTTCGGAAGGAGATTCAGAGAGGGAGGACAAGGGACAAGGCTATGGATCTGTCTACGCGAGGAAGTGCAGCCGATTCTGAAGATGACAGCGGCACGGATACTGGAGTCAGGACGGGAGGTAGCACCAAGATGGGCGAATCGTCCTCGCCACGCAAATCGATCAAGCCACTTTCCAAATGGAAAGAGGAGGAATCGTCTCGTCCCAGTCGTTACTCCGCCTCCAAGCGCACAAAAACGCTGAAGCCCGTGGTGACGACCAACGACGCCTCCTCTGAATCACCTCCGAACCGGATCGACGACTTCAGCTCTTCGTCTTCGAACGCAGCCCCTTCAACAGCTTCGCACGTCACGACGCCTACTTCTGACTTCAACCAGTCTCCACGCGCCGGCTCGCAGACCCGTGCCTCTCGTACCAAAAAGACTAAGGATCTGCCCTCACCTGACGTGCCAACCCCTCACTCTGTGACTACCATCACTGATCTCTTAAATGCGCCTATCCCATCCCTCCCATATGTGGGCTCACCCTGGTACTCGTCTACATCTACGGAAGACACCTCTGCATCTGAGTCTGATGCCTGGTCGAATGCGTCGACGCGATCCAACCCGCGAAGGGGCGGACACTGGGATTTAGAGGGGCATCGATCGTTTTCACCGTCGCACACGTCTTCCTCCCGCTCCACGTCGCGGGCGTCGCAGTCTTCTTCTTCCGTGATGCCAGCATCACCGCCCAATGGGGACTCTCCGTACATCTCTACTGACGATGGTGTGCATCATCATCATCGCCATCGCCACCATCGCAAACATCGCCATCGACATAGCCATCATGCCCCTGAAGGTGAAGAGCGTGAAGATGAAGAGAAGAGTGCACGGGAGAGTGACGAAGGCGCGGAGGATGATGAGCAGTTGGAGGATTTTCTTCGGCAGTCCTATGACGGCAATGACACCTTACCTCCCGTCCCACTGGAGCCGTTCCGCAACCAGGTCGGAGGACATAGCGCTATATACAAGTTCACCAAGCGCGCCGTGTGCAAGGTATGATCCAAAGTTTCTCACTCTGTTCGTACTGCATTGTTGGATTTTAGACTGACATTGTTGAACATTGTGGCATCGCCAGCCTTTGGTGTCGAGGGAGAACTTGTTTTACGAATCCGTTGAGAGAGAGGCTCCCCCACTTCTTGGATACATCCCTCGCTACCTTGGTGTGATGTTGGTCAACTATCGTCGTGTCCGACGGTCTTCGCGTTCCTCGCAGCTCACTCAGCCTACCCAACCGAGTGGTACGCCAAAAATGATCGAGTCGCGATCGAGATCCCCACAGCCCCGGCAGGTTGGGGAGGACGCTCCTACCACACCAGAATTGACGCCCATCCGACCTGTTCTGCGAAAGTCAGTGACCGATACGACAATCACTCCCAAGGAGAATGAGGCTGAACGCAAGTCCTCCACCCTCACACCACTCCCTGAGCTACATCACCATCAGAACCATGACAGATCTGAAGATGAAGAAGAGATGCCTGAAGTGGCATTGGACGTCAACAAGCACATCATCCCTTCATGGCTCTTGAACGGCCAATCACACCACTCTCATCGCCGACACTCTCAAACGATATCATATGGCCCGTCCCACTCGAGCTCCATTTCGCGCTCGCACTCCAACGTCAACTCGAGGCAGAGTAGCCACCAACGCCCGCCATCCTCGGCTCTGGCGTTGACGCCAGTGCGATCACCTCTCATGTCACCGATCTCTGGCTCTCAAGGGAAGCACCAGCGGGAGCTGGATGGGAGCGAGAGAACAGCGTCCAATCCGGACTTGTCTACTCTCATGCACGTGGAAGAGGAAGGTGGTCTCGATCACGAAGATGCCTGTAGTTCGCTGAGACCAATCATCACCGGGTTTGGGTCACCACCCTTCGGACGGGAGCGTGCCCATCTGAGACCTTCCTCGTCGACACGTTCTTCCTCCTTCACTTCGAGTCCGTTGGCGCAGAATTGGACGATATCTAGTGGCTCCAGTCCCGAGCGTAGGCTGATAACTGCCGACGAGTCCGCGATGGCGGTCACAACCCCGTTCAGCTCGCCGGATGTTGGTGGTCGAGCAGTGGCGCCCGCCTTGAGCACCGATAGTGTGCCCCTACCCGAGACAAAGTCAATGTCACCTGTGGGAACGATCAGATCGTACAGGTCTGAGAGACAACCGAACTTCTCCGTGACGCACGCCCAGTCAACTTGCGGCTCCGTTGGGTCGGCTCGTGGGATCATGGCCCCACCACCTACGGCCAGCCCGGAATGCCGCTCCTTTGGTGGCACAGGCTCGACTACAGTCAACACTCGTCTTCGGGATCATGTCTTTGGCGCGCTGTTCAAACGCTTTCGTCGCCATCGAGCCCACCGAAAGGGTCAAGGCCCCCAGATCAACATCAATCGCGGTCAAAATACCACAGAGGATGAGGGTGAGCAGGCGGATGCGGAAGGGGATCACGCTAGTCAGCTGAACACTCCAACGGAACGACCTGGCGGCTTCGACAGGTTCTTGCGCCATCGTGGTACAATGAAGCGTGACGAAGGAGCAGACATCATGGCAGAGTCGGGCGAGGGCCGCGGTGTACGGCGCGTACGAAGCGAGAACCATCTCGTGTCTCCCAGTCGTCTCCAAGCACTGCAGCTGTCAGGGTGCGATCTCATGATGGGTGCAGCGGATACGGATGTAGACGAAGTTCCGTCTAGGCGACCAAATACTCAGAGGTCACCTAGTGGAAGTCTTACTGGCACTCACCTGCAGCCTGGCTGGCCCGCGGCCACAGAGCATCGCAGCCGCAGTCGGAGTGTAGAGCCTGCTTCTGAGCTCTCTGACCGTCCTTCACCGAAGAGAAGCTTATCCTCACAAGTCGATCACCCACAAACGTCTCTACGAGGGAACGAACTCGCCATCGTGCCGCCAGGTGAAGGCCCGATCAATCGACAGGAGCATTTCATCCTGCTTGAAGACTTGACCGGAAAACTCAGGTCTTCTTGCGTCCTAGATCTCAAGATGGGCACCAGGCAGTACGGTATCGACGCGACAGCCGCGAAGAAGAAGAGTCAACGTAAGAAGTGTGACAAAACCACGAGCCGCACCTTGGGAGTCAGGATCTGTGGCATGCAGGTAAGATTCGTCGACTATGGGTTGTCACGATCTTCGTACCTTTACTCAACCCTCCTTGATCATAGGTTTGGGACAATACTACACAATCCTACGCCACCCAAGATAAGTACACAGGGCGGGACATTCGGACGGAAGAGTTCCCATCAGTCCTATCTTCATTCTTACATGACGGCGAGAACCTTTTGGTCTACCACATCCCAGTGCTACTTCAGAAGCTGTATGGCCTAGCACGACTCATCTACCGACTGAAGGGATATAGGTTCTACGGTTGTAGCTTACTATTCATCTACGATGGAGATCGCGAGGCTCAGGAACATTACAAGGCTGCAACCGACGCGCCCACCTCGAGGACCAAACGGGGCGAGTCCCTGGATCGTCGAGACCGAGCTGTTGCTCCAGGAGTGTCCAAGCCCACCCTGCGCCGTACAGCTAGCGAGGATCTACTTCTCGGTCCCATCGCCAAGCGTTCTCATCGTGGCCGCCGCAAGCGTGGCGAGCTCTTCATCCGGATTGTCGACTTCGCCCATACAACCACCGGACGCGACTACATCCCCTTGTCAGCACGACCAGAGGTAATCGATGGCACGACGGCGCCCAACACGAAAGGCTATCAGGCAGACGTTGATCCCGAGACTGGACTCTTACTTGCTCGATTTCCACCCAAGCGGCCAGAGAAACCAGACCTCGGCTTCTTGTTCGGAATCATGAACCTATGTAAGACACTCGAAACCATCTGGAATGAAGAGCGAGCGAAACGCTTCAGGGCGGCAAGGGAAGGGAAAATTGTAGAGCAGCTGAGCCCGTTGTCGCAGCAGGGGAAGGAGATCTTCAGCGCCATATTTGAACGAGATGATCCCTTTGAGGGGGTCGATCCCGGTATGCTTTCCACGTAGGCATTGTGTGATGAGGCCCAATCTTATGCACAGCAGTGAGTAGGTCGTCCATGCTTCTATTCGTTTACTCTTTGTATTTCTGCCGCTGTCTTGGGCCGCCACTGTATCCATAGTCATATGCCAGTATGTTTTGCTCGCGTTGCACACTTCGGAACCACATTCAATATTTCTCGCAGCTCGAGTATTACGAATATGTGCGGACCAACTCGAACACCTGTCGATATCCCCAGGGCCATTTAGCCCTCCTTGATATAGGTACAACCATATGGTTGAAAATCCTGAATCAGTGGTGCGAGTGGGTCATGAGAAAAGCTCTGTATGCTCAAGCGTGTCACTCGGCGTCCTCAGACGTATGTTGAGGATTGAATGGATGATCCATTCGCGGCTTGAACATCATAAACACGCAAAAAGTAGCAACTGGTGGTTTCGATCCACCGACCTCTGGGTTATGGGCCCAGCACGCTTCCGCTGCGTCAAGTTGCTTGGACAAAATCTATGCTTCTTCTATATTATCTATAGCGTGGAATTAATGCGACGCTAATTATCGCCATAAGAATTATTGAGAGACGGGGTGGTCAAGACAGACAGCCGAGTCACCATCGCGACGATGGTGCGAGGATCACTACAGATCATGCCCACTTCCTAGGTATCTGAACCTGAAAATCACCACATTCTCTGCTACTTGGCGCAAGGAGAACGCTTTGCTTTCAAACTGTAGCAGAGAGGACGGGCAGGGCATTCAAGAGAATGAGAATGAGAATGAGAATGAGTACAAAGTCGGCATTCCATCCTGAGGACAATTTTGTTTTGGGAATTAATTGCTTCCAAGCTCCCATGATGAGTTTGATAAGACCAGCTCAATATCCCGGATTGTGTTGTACGACTCAGGGTTGCGATGACGTTTGTTCTCGTCCACTATCGAATACATTGACTATCACTATACACATCAGTCAGCCTACCAGCACAAGTACAGCCTTCAATTACTGGAGAACAGACGCTTGGTATAACTGCGAGTAACACCAGTGAGTCAAGGTGCACTCTGACAGACAAGGAAGTAAAGCTTACGAGTTCAGACCATGCACACCACCTTCGACCTGCGCACTCGCCGTCCGCATCTCGAACCGTACCTCACCTGCGCGGACGCCATCGTGAAGATCCTTGATGCTCTTAACGCCGATGTCCTGCAAGCTATGCTGGACCCCAACGTGTAGATACGGTAAGAAGTGAACGATCGAACCACGGTCCGTCACGTCGCCTGACACGCCTTGTGCAACCTTGACAGCGCTGGCCTCCGAGAAGTAGCGTGATGTCGCAGCATTTTCGACTACGTTGGTGGGTTTGGAGCCAGTTGGGTGGAGAGCGTTCTTCGAGCCGCCCTTAGACGTCGTCGGCTTGATCTTGCCTTGCTCCATCGCTTCCTATGGACGAAGAATTGCGATAGATCAGCGGGCTTCCTTGGATGAAGTGACCAGGAACGCTACTGACCAAGCTACCCATTCCGCGGTACGTTTTGACGCGCTTCCCATCGTGCCAGAAATACTCGCCGGGCGCTTCCGTAGTACCAGCAAGCAAACCTCCCATCATGACTGAGCCAGCACCCAGCGCCAATGCCTTGACGATGTGACCAACATTGCCGATACCGCCATCCGCCATGACCGGAACGCCAAACTTGTTAGCGAACTCAGCCACAGAATGCACGGCGGTTGCTTGTGGTCTGCCAACGGCCATAACTTCTTGCGTGATGCAGATGCTACCGGAGCCCATGCCAACTCGTAACCCGTCAGCACCGGCAGCGATTAAGGAGGCTGCCTGTTCCCTTGTGACCACATTGCCTGCAATGACCTCGAGATTTGGGAACGTCTTCTTGATCCACTGGATCATTTCGATCTGATAGGACGAGTTGCCCTGGCTCGAGTCGACGTTGACAATGTCGAGACCAGCTTCGACGAGGAGCGCCAGACGTTCTCGGTCAGCTGGGCGAGTGCCGATGGCTGCAGCGGCATATAGTTGTTTCGATTCGGGTGATTTGGACGCGAAGGGGAAGTTTTGGTTCTTAAGCAGATCGGATCGGGCAAGGAGGGAGACAAGGCAGCCATTAGGGTCAACAATGAGAAGCTTTCCCTTCTTGGAGGTTCGGAGGAGCTCGTTTGCCTCTAGAAGGGTTGTGCCGGAGGGTGCGGTGACGAGGTTATCCTTGGTCATGGCTTCAGACACAGAGTCCTCGGGATCACGGAATTGGACATCCCGCGACGTGACAATGCCAACCAGTTTTCCTCCTAATTTCCCAGTATCTGATTGTGTGATCCGTGGTCAGTAACGCGTCGTTGAGAGTATGAAACACGATGTTGAAATGAAGGAGGGATCAGAGCAAGTGGAGAGTAATGTTTTGATCCGCACGCCACGCTGTCCAATGGACTACGTTGCTCAGAAGAACGAAGGTTATAACATTGCATCATTTTGCCTTGGGACGGGTGGCCATCCGGAGAGCAGGAGGTGGAAAGTAAGTTGAGGCGAGGCAGGGCAGACTCACCAGTAATTGGGATGCCGCAAAAGCCAAGCCGCACTTTCGTGTCCAGCACATCCCGCACTTTGTGGTCCGGCGAGAAGACAACTGGGTCGGTGATGAAGCCGTTCTCATGGCGTTTCACAGCGCGAACCATCGCGGCTTGATCGACAGCGGGTTGGTTGTGATGAATGACACCAATGCCACCCAGGAGCTGGATTCGACGAGAAGCAGCAACACGAGAGATGAAAGATCAGCTCAGTTGTTCTGAACGCGTTTGAAGGAGGAAGCACTAAGTTGGTCGGGCTAAACGAGTGCATTGGAAAGTGTGATGGGCGATGCGATCCAACTCACAGCCATATGAATCGCCATATCCTTCTCCGTCACTGTGTCCATAGCAGAGCTCACGAAGGGAGTCTTGAGCGTCACATTGCGCGTGATGCGGGTCTCGGTCTGGACGACGCTGGCCGGGAAGTCGATCTTGCCAGGCAGAAGGAGGAAGTCGTTGTAAGTTAGACCGCCGTGGGTCTTGGAGTTGAGAAGCTCCGAGACGGAGAGTCCGTCCCTACTCTCATAAGTGGCGAGGTGCTCGAGAGCGGTGGATGGGTCGAGGTACTTGGATGAAGATGAGGTTCCGTTGGTAATAGCCATTTAGCAAAGCAAAGGGGAAAATTGTCTGTGCGATCGCACGGGCCAACGGCTTTATAAGGAAAAGCCCCTATCTCGTAAAAACCGCCTCATGGGATTGATCATTACACTTGCTAAGCGAGGCGAGGGTGGAGAGCGTGACTGATGTATTTAATGCATAAGGAAGAAGATGAGCAAAAAAAAGAACAATCGCGCAATATGGTCGATCAGATGGAAGATGCGGGCAACGCATGAATACGTCACCAGCCTCGGAACTCGGACTCATCGCCACCACCTACGTCTTAGACATGACCACCGTCGTGTCTAAAGGCGTGGATGTCTCGATGATCCCGTTCTGAGGAGGCATTTTCCTGTATTTCTTGAGGGTGTCCACGACGTATGGGATGACAAGGGTGTCGGTCGACCAGCCCCATAGGACATCTAATGAGAGGAGAGTCGTTTCAGTATGAGCTTCTCACCTAAGGTCGCGATAGGGTACTCGCCCAAATGCTCATGACCGGGTACCTGAATAGGCGCATCGAACCGTCAGATTTTACCAATTCGACGCTCGAAGCAGAGACTTACCGCTCGAGCGGTGGTGTGCGCCGGTAGCTCTTTCAACATACTGTCAATGTCCACCAGATGATCGACGTCTCCGTATAAAAGGAAGATCGGAGTGGTGATATTGCGTGTAGGGAACCTTGCGGGGCGGTACGAGCGGTCTTGATAGAGAGACGTTACCTTCTGGACGTCATCGTCATACCTGCAAAATATGGGGTAGGTTCATTCTAATATGAGGCAAGAGCGGACCGACAAAAAGTTCACTAACATCAAAAACTTCGAATTCCTCATGATCTGGAACCAGTGCACAACCGCCTTGGTGGACGTATACGAGTACAGGTGAGCATAGCCGGCGAGTTTCTGAGACTACGAAGGCCCAGAAGTCAGATCAGTCCAACCTTACGCGCGTGTGCAGAGATAGATCCACAAACGTGAGTGATGTTCTTTCCCTGCCAATCGAACAAGTAGCTCAAGCATACGTCAATGATCTTGACGAAAATCTCGGGATCTAAAATATGTCAATTACAAGCATGTCGTCCATAACATCGTGTACTGGAAGAATATGCTTACAAAGAATGGACTGCCAGAAGATGGTGGAAGGCAAGATCGCCTTACGTCCAAAGAAGAGGAACAAAAGGGTCGGCGAAGCCTTCATAAGAGCGTCAACCATACGCGCCGAGAGGCCTACAGTTTAATCAAAGGTCAGTATGGTAACGACTCGACAATTTGGTATCGTTGTCGTTCTTACCACGAGGGCTCATCGCAGGCGCCAAGCCAATGAAGACGTTTACTCTTTCATTGAGCCTGGGATTGATCGACAGAGCTGCAAAAGCCTGAGCCGTGCCTTGGGAAAACCCGATATAACTTAGTGTTCCCGCCTTGGTCGCCTCTAGAATATAAGTGATAGAGTTGGGGATATCATGCTAGCCAAAATTGCTTGTCAGAGAGCTCGGATGGAGAAGAGAGCGCGGAATACCGGGATGTACCATGCAAAAGTCATCGATAGAAAAGTTCCAAAAGCGACTGTAAGTCCACATAGTTGAGAATGAGCAGCAGATCAGTGACATGTGTGACTTTATCTCCTTACGATTCGTTCGCCGTTGTATGGATCGCCTTCTTCGAATATTTATTTCCTCGGTTGTTTCCAAACTAGAGACACGATGCTCGTATCAGATCTGATTGAAACAGTACACGTTGAGATTGCAGGACCCACCCAGACATCATAGCCTTGCTCAACAAGCACGAACGGAATACACCGTTCTTCATCTGTGAGGCACACCCAGACGTCGCTGCACATAAGGAGGCCTATCGATGATGACGTAATAAGTAAGCCTAAATCCGTTTATTGCAAAAAGTGGTCTGACCATGGTGCATGTAGACCACAGGCTTCCCAGTAGATTCTCCGGGAGCAGCTCGGGGCTCCCCCTTCTTTGAGGATATGCGTTGGAGGCAAAGGAGGTACCCGTCCTGAGCAAGGCTAATCAGCCCATCAAACCCATCCAATTGAGATCCACCACTCACCGTCGTCTGGACATAATGATCCTCAACCTCGTAGCCCCAAATCTCGCAGAGTTCATGAAAATCGTTGGCCTTCTCGATCCTGCTGATGCGAGCCGCCTCAGCGTCGACCTTGCTATTCCCAAAGTTTTGGTGATAGATCCGAACAGACTTGTCGTGGAAGAACTTGATCACGGCTGTTCAACCAAGAATATATAGCTCAATCTCGTAAGGTGGGGTGGCGGGAACGAGCGGCTCACCGTCAGGGAGAGCTAGGGTGATGAGCCGGATAGGG